ATATATATATATATATTAATCATAACAGAAAAGAAATAAAATATATCATGAGAAAACGATAATGTTATACATATCAATTATAAACTTGCTGTTTTTTATCAATACAATAAAAAATTAATACAATTGTAGTGTTAATTAATATTATTATATATTTTTTTTTCTAATTTGATAACATGAATTATGAATCTTTTAAATGATAAAATAATATATTAGACTTGCTTCTTATAAATGTTATATTAATTTAAAGAAATACAAACAAAGAAGTGCAAAATTTAATAAATAATGACTTTTATTTTCATTAATTACGTGAATTCACATATGTATGTATAGTTGAACTATTTCAAAAAGATAAATGTTTCGTATCTTTTTCGTTCACTTAATATTTTAAAAGTTAATACTAATCAATTTATGGCACATAACCGCATCTGGAAACGTAAAATATGCATATAAATGCCTGTTCTATTTTGTAGAAGCAGTGACACGCATGATATAATTTATTATTTCTCAAATACCATTTATATATATCTCGATTTCAATGACTAGATTAAATTAATCCTAACTTAATGAAACTTTGCTTTACTAAACAGTAAGTACGATATGTAATAAGTAATAAAAAGCAAACGAATAATTAATATCTAAAAAAAAACATGTATGAGAAAATTGAGAATAAATAATATATAATTTACTTTAAAGAAAAAAAAAATTTTTATAAAATCTCAATAATTTACTTCGTGATGTGTGTGTGTGTGTGTGTGTGTGTGTGTGTGTGTGTGTGTGTGTGTGTGTGTGTGTGTGTAGATTTGTGAAAAGACTCGTAGAAATATTGTTATGTTTCGCACGAATACTTAAGCGTTAGGCTTGTCTTTGGATTCAATTCAATATATTATCTACACGAGTTTAGCAAATAACATTATATCGACTCAGCTTTATAAAATAAAAATTTGCATAAAAACGTGCACGTACGCATTGTTCATAATCATTCTCAAGATATTTTCTATCTATGTATTTCCAAAGATTTTCGCCGAATTTTATGTGACATCATTCACAGCATTTATGACATCGTATATGACAATGTCGTTAATATACAGTTCTGGTGTAAGCTTTACTTATTTTTCCTTAACAAAGTACGATATTATAAAATAAATGCACACGTTATTCGCATATAACTATAAAGTTTTAAAATCCTAAGAAGCACCATTATGTACACGATGTAAAATGACAACTGTTTCACTATAGTATTTACAAAAAAAAATAATTGCACAAACGTAAACGCCGTATGTATATTAGCTAAATACATCTATAAACGTTTTTAATGTCACAGTTTTCTTATTTAAAAAAATATGCATTAATTTAAAGAAATGCCTTGTATCCACGAACTGAGATCGCTGGTATCCTCACAACTAAGACTTAAGGCATGCTTTTCACTTTGTTTGGTACCCAAGAGTAATTCAGCCGCTGTTCGACCAGTTAAATATGCTCCATGTACTGTACTATAGAACGAAGAATGAGTATGTTCGCCTGCAAATGCCACCAGAATTTTGACTGTTTCGTCTGCGTTATCTTCCGTTTTCTTCTGAACCAACGGCTCAGCCAAACTTCTGATGTCCAATTGACTCGCTCCTACAGCCATCGCAGTGTATGAACCTCGCGTATATGGTTGAGATTGCCACGTGGTGCGCAAACAGTTCTTCGGAATCGGTACGAAAGGATCATTAAGAAATCGCCGCAGGATTGTCGTGCACACTTCTGACACTTCTGTGGTACTCAGCTTTTCCATGTATTCTGCCGCGCGACCGGATATCCAACCGAGTAGCAACGTGTCCGAGATCTTAATAAACGAATATATCTTCCTAAACCAGGTCTTACTAATATCCCGTTTTTCTGCTTCAGATAATCGATCGTCATCCCAAAGGAGCATCACTTCCGATACACCAGGATTTAAAAAAGGCCGTTCGTATTCGAGAAATATCTTATTCACTGTACCGAACATTAGTCTGTTTATTGCTTCCAATTTGTATGTGGGCAACGACGGTTCGAACAAATCCTTAGCTGTCCTTTTTAAAACGCCTAATGGTAACGTACATACTATGTGCTCCGCAGTGATCGTCTTTCCATTTTCACATTGTACTTCTATAAGGCTATTTGATTTAAAATCAGATTTTTCTGTAGGATCGACATCATCTTGACAACATTGTTGTTTCTGCCACCTAAAATAAAAATGAATAATAAGTTCATATTAGAGTCTTTGTTACATGTTTCATTCAATGATTCAAAAATTGATGTATTTTCACGCATTTATTAAATTATTGTAAGCTCACCTAATCTTTGTTACAACATGCTTCATAAGTATACACTCCTTTGGTATATGTTTCGAAACTGGTTCCAATATAGCGCTATATCCGTTCGGAAGACTAATATTACCACCTTGAAGTTCATCGTAGGAGCCCATTTCTAGAAGATCTACATCGTCCATACTGTCGCAACCCGTGACACAAGTTTCTCTTTTGAGTAAACAGTCAAAGATTAGCTGTCTTATTCTTCGTTGTTCAGGTGGTACAGAAGACAGATATATCTCTGCTTCCAACGCAATATGTGCTCCAACACTGGTTATACCATCTGGTGGACTGTACATGCTCAGAAAATATTCTTCGCATCGCCTCAAAAAGCATACGTAAGCCTCATAGATCTCTCGTAATACAGGAAATGGCAATTGTTTTCCATCCTCCAATGCTGCCACCACTTTATGAGGTTTCGGCACATGTACAATGTCTATTAAACCATTTGCCATCGCCAACTCAAACATGGGATTACCTAACACTCCGTGGATCCAGTTTGCTCCTAACTCAACTTTTTCATTGCCTAGATGAGATAGAAAAAAAAAACTTTTCTTTGAAAATATTCTATTTATTTTTTTAAATAATGATAACAATAACACCTCATGTATGTTTCTATAAAGAAAAAATATCAATATTATAGCTTGTCATTTCAGATTTTTCTAAATAAAATTATTTTATATTATAAAAATAATAAAATATGCAATTGATGAAAAATTTTGTCATAAAAGGCTGACGAAAGACTTATCAAGTTTGCTAAATATACAAAAATAATATTTCCCTGCTTACATATAGAATTATATATTCTGTAATCAATGTCATACAAAATTCACGTAAATATATTTAATTATTTCGAAAAATCGATGTATATAATCGATGTTTCTTTAAAGTACTGATTCTACTTCGTCTTCTACCGTCACATAATTTGTACACACATATTCAAAAGTTCTAAAGATAAATGATGATTTTAAACCTCCTAGTATATTGTTAATTAATATTGCTATAATTGGTGGAATCGGTCACTGATGTATCACAAAGTAAATAAATTTAGAAGCAAGTTGTCAAGATAAGGAGAGGTTAGACTGATCGTACCGACTTGCGCCGCGATGATTCGTCCACCAATACGTCCGCGCGCCTCGACGATGAGAAAATCCGTCTCGTTATTCTTCAATAAATGAGTTGCCGCGGACAATCCAGCCATACCGGCACCGATAATCAAGATCTTACATGACAGGTTGTCATCCTCCGAATTATTTGCAGGTTCCGCCATGTTTACATATGAACGATATCAGCCATATTCGCTGTCACAGCTGTAATTACATACACATACCACACATGTGTGTATAGGGATATCACATTTTCGAAATATAGCATCTGTAAAAACCCTAGTTTCATGCAATTGCATAATTTTAGTAAGTCAGTATCGTATTTTTCGGCTGTTTGCCAGTTATGTCGGTGTAATTTTATCGATAATGTTAATTTTTTTAGGAATTTAACGAATAATTTGCGTTATTCTATTAATTAAGTTACATCGTGATATTTAGAGAAATGTCTAATTCACTCGTGCATAAAAGCTTAGAATTATTGGGTTATGAAGAAGATTCACAGAGAGGTTAGTTCATTGAAACCCGCATGTGTACATATGTATATTTACTAAACGATGCGCATACAAGTATTTATTTCAGATAAAATAAATTTCAGAACAAAGGAAAAAGAAGAAACGTAAGGATATTAGATACAAAGGAGCCTTGGATCTAATTCCCATTAAACATAGGATAATCTCTAAAAACGATAAGACAGGTTATAATTATCATTTAAATACACATAATCTAATAGATAAGCCTCATATGAAATTTATTATTCTTTATATCTTTTATAATTATAGATTATAAAATTATAATAAATTATTTAATTACGATATTTTATTATATTTTCATGAGTAATATATATTATTAGATACATATTGAAAGATCTATAAGAGAAATTAAATTTTATATTTTCTTTTTATAGAACTTGATACTATTTTGGGTCGATCCAGCAAAACTACTGTTTATGAGACTCAGAAACGCTTAGCCACTCTAAAAGATCCTACTGATGAAAATATACAACGACTCCTTTTATTCAGCAGTAATCGAATAAATGCTGAAACAGCAAATAATGTATGAAAAATTATGTTTTATAAATTTTGAATTTCGACAAATTTTTCGTGTTTATATTTTATATTGTTGTACTTACTTTGTGCTCTTGTACTATATGATTTAAAACAAATATCTAAAGAAAAACACAAAGATACTTAAACATTTATTTAAAGTTTTAAAGAGAATTTAAATTAGAAATACAGACTTGTTGCAGACTACAGTCCTTAAGCATTCTTGACTAATTCATGAAATATTTTGTAGTTGTTGCAACGTGCTGTAGGAAAGAAATACATTCAACAAGAAAAATTCAAGAAATCAGAAGAAACAGCTTTTACAGAAGAAGACTTCAAGAACTTTGAACAAGAATATGTGGAATAATATTGATAATGACATTGAACTATAAGGAATAGCACAATGTGTAAACTAAAAATTAAAATCAAAATAGAAATGTTCAACAATGTTTGATAGTGATCGTCAAAGAGGAAAAGTAATATTAATATTAACATTCGTCTTGTTTCTCTATTACACCGTGTGGGTAATCGGTCTACCGTTTATCGACGATAGTAGATTAAGATCATTTTTTTACTCGTACGATCTGGCTTTGATAATTCCCGCGAGTTTTGGGCTAATTTTCGTCGGTGGTTTGATACTCTTTACCATATATCATGTGAAATCACACTTGTTTCATAAAATAGAAAATATGGAGTAGCAACTTAGTAGCAAGTTGTCAAAACATGCAGCGATATCGACTATATTATTATTGTAACATTGCGTAATCATTATATTGTATTTTGTAACATTCATATATACAACTTGTGATATACATGCATGAATGTGTTATAAGGAATGTAAGAATGTATAAAATCGTATAATGAGAGGGAGATAAAGAGGAAGAGGTTACGTCATTCAATTTACTCAGGGTTATTCGAACGTTATAAACTTATTAAACGAATGTAATAAACTCTCTTATCTACACTAGTAGATCAAGTACTACTATGATACTCTTGCAAGCAAATTAAAAATGGCGAAGCAATGGTTTGTCGTTGGTATATCTGGTGCAACTTGTAGTGGAAAAAGTACATTGGCTAATAAGATCCATGATTATTTTCCAACATCCGTTCTGGTATGTCAAGATAATTATTTTTTGCCACCAGGCGATCCACGTCATGTTAAGATACAGGAATTGAATCACGTAAATTGGGAACTATCAACAAGCTTGGATATGCAAAAAATGTATTCAGATGTTATAAAGATACTTCAGTCTCCCGAAAAAAATCCAATCGATTCAAAGAAGTTATTGATATTGGATGGTTTCTTACTCTTCGAACATAAGGCCATCACAGATTTATGTGACTGTAAATACTTTTTAACGTTGACAAAGGAGCAATGTTGGAAACGAAGAAAAAATCGTATATATGAGCCACCTGATGTGCCGGGATATTTTGACAAAATAGTATGGCCTGAATTTGTAAAGTACAAAAATGAAGTTATACAAAACAATGAGCTGTATGAAACTGTAACATTTATCGATGGATCGAAGGATATGGAAGAAATTTGTGAAATGGTTTTCAAGAAAATTGGTCAATTATTATCTTAAAAATGTAACTCAGTTTAACTCTTCTTGTGATTAAATTTAAATTATACAAGTATCATCAGCCTGAAACAAAAAAAAGAGAAGTTTTTCTTTTACACATTCCGAAAGATACAAAAAATTAAATGGATATTGTGAAGATATTTAATATTGCAAATAAAAAATTTTCAATAATTTGTAAGCTTTTTGATATTTTTGATATTTTTCCATAAAGATTTTCCTTGATATACATACATATATATATATATATATATATATATACGTTCATACATATA